TCAAGCCTCAAAAGAATTTGGAGCAGATGACGCAAAGTCGAGGTTTATGGGTTTTTAATTTTTTTTTATTTTATTGGGTGTAGCTTTTGCATCAGAGATATTTACTTTTTCACTATGTTTCTCACTGGTTGAAAAATGGGCCGTGGCTTCTGCGGTGTGTGCAGCTTCTGGTCCTTACTGTCTCATCCCAAAACACCAACTCCACCAGGATCTGCGGTCAATTTGTAATTTCGTGCTCACACGGGGCCTTCTTAACCTTCGTATACAGTGGATTCTGGAGAGTACATTACATGATGTCTTCATTCACCTATTCATACATATATTCATAAAACACTTATTGTGTATAACCTTAACAGAAATATTTTATCTATTATACTAGATCAAATTACCAAAAGCTCCCTTTTTTTTTACTTAGAAAGGTAAAACAGTCTTTCACCACACACCCACCATCAGAACTGTGACATTCACTTGTTTGTTTCTTAGTACTGTTCCGTGATAGTATTCCAAAGTCAGACTTCTGTTGTTATCAGAACATCCAAATTCCCGGAACAGTACATTGTAGCTCTTTTACACTTTGTCCTCATTTTCAAAGACGTATCCAGGCTCTGCGTGCTGGATATTTTGTACCTGTGAGAAGGCAAATCAATGCTGCGTGTTTTTTCCATGAGTGTTTGCTAATCGTCATTAGCGTGCCTCTGTAATCTGTCCACAGTCTTTGACGTTCTGCTGACAGGGACACGGCTCTAAGAATAGAGAGCAAGGGGAACAATGGTGCTCAACTCTTGATGGTCAGTAATGACGCGTGAAAGGCAGGCAATCACATGGTTGTTCTGTGCTCTATAGTCATTACGGTGATGGAAAACTGTGATCTCTGTCTCAGCTGTAACAGCAAAGCCACTCTGTGGTAGGTCCATCTGTTGAGCCCACTAATGTACGCATGATGAAGTGCACGAGGCACTGAGACGCAAGATGGCTAGACCGTTTGAGTCCATCCTGCTGGGCGCTCTGTTTCTTTTCTTTTTTTTTCATTGTAATATCATTGCAGTATACAGGTGTGTCAACATGCTCTTCAGCTAGAGAGCAGTCTTTCACCATACTGTCAGAAAAATGACTCAACCAAAAAATAAAGACATAAAAATAGCTAGAGAACCAACCCTCACAGTCCCGCCGGCATGCTCAAAGAAATGACATCACCTGCTCACTTGGACCGAGCCCAGAGATGATGGAATAACCTGAGGCCACCGAACGTGTGAAAGACCAATGAGAAAACGCTCTCTTGCCATGATTAATCGATGAAGCTCCACGCTCTTAAGTCAGCCTGCGTCCATGCAGCTGCGTTTTACTCTGTATAGAATGACAGCCGGTATTCGGTGACAAGAGTTTGCTTGTGCATACCATTGAGAGCTCTTTTACACTCCTCTATGGATCCTTAAATAGTGCAGACATCAGCGCTTTGCATGGTCATCAGAAAATTATTCATTATGATGTGACTGCTGACATGGAAAAATGTAAACTTATGAGAAATCACTAAAAATAAAGAAGTTTTATTTCTCTACCGTCTGACAGTCCTTTGTTAGGTGAGAAGGGGCATTTGCAATCGTGTGTGTGTGTGTGTGCGCGGGCATTTGCGTAAAGTCACATGGTGCACATAGTGCCGCTCTGTTTATCGGATTGTAAACACTGGGATTATGAGACATGAAGTAAGGCTTTAGATATATATGCAGTTGCTTCCTCTTTCTCAGAGATCAATCATCCTTAAGTTCATGAGAACAAAGTCATGTTAAAAGTCATAACATTAAAATACCATTTAGTCGTTTTCTTGTTGGTCAGGATTTCTTTGTTCTTACTTATTTAAGATGAGTGAAATAAAAAAAAACAGCCGAATGTATTTGTCATAAAAGGTATTGTGTCTTAGATATTCTGTTGCTTCTATAGCTGTCATCTTATAATCAGTGTTTCAAGTCAGATCCTTGAAGTACTTGATTATTAAATCTGTATTATTTATAGCAGAAATTTGTAGCCAAAAAAACTGCCTACAAATGATTCATTTTGACAGTAAGTGTTAAGGACAAAATGTTCTAAAGTAGTTTTAGACTTTTTTGTTCTTTACAGATGCTTGACAAATTGGTGCCTGAAAAAGATGATAAAGCTCAATGGGGGGGGACTAAGCAATTCTATAAATTAGCTAAACAACACGATATCATATTATTATATTATTATACTATATAACTCGATATTTTTCCCTCATTATCCTCTATTGGTATACTGGCCAAAGGAAATGGTCCTTTTTCAACATTTATCACTGAGATAATGAAAAGAATACCTTAATTTAGACTCAAAGCTTGTCTTCTCCCACATTTCTGTTCTTACTTCAATCCTACTAGCTCCAAAGGGAAATGGGCTTCTTTGTGTGAATGTTAAGTCTGGAACATCCTGTCAGTTTTAATGTTGGAAGTTAATGGTTCACAGTATATCTGCTATTAAAGTACCAGTTTCTGCACGAACTGTTCTTTCTGCCACGGCATATAAACCTAACCCTAAACCTAGCTTTGATGTGTTCGCGTTTTTTATACAATCGACTGACAGACCGTCGGACATCTCAGTGTGAATCTGTGCTCCAGTGTACACTGATATTGCTCTTTTTTATTTCCACATTTCTCCTTAGTCATAATAACACCAAGCAGTTGTGAAATTGACAAGTTTAATCATATCTTTTTTGCAGCTGACAATATACAGGAAATCTGTCATTGACTAACTTTTAGCAATATTTCTGTTAAATGTTTATTGTTTGTGCTATGTCATACATGGATTTTGATATGAATACAAACAGTGTTAAGTGATATAAAAGGAAAAATGTCAATATCTTGATCTCATCATAAGTAAACCAATGCATTCGGCAACTAAACTGCAGTGAAGGCTGTAAGTCGGCCTCTGCTACTTCAGCATTTCAGAAATGATTTGGCTACAAGTGGTGAACCACTAAAAGAGCACCAAATATCCAAGAACACTGTTACCACAAATGGTGGAATTACAGAAATGTTGTTCAGTCACTTGAACTGAAAACATATTGTAAAGTACAACAAGGCTATGAGGGATGAGAGCAAATCATAATGCACTATCCAGTAATGAACATTATTCGGTGAGTTGAGTAGATGAGTACATGTGTTTTGCAAAAGATGTGAACTACTTCTGAATGATGGAAACGGAAGGCTTTAAGCAATTATAATTTGGCCTAAAACATAAAATCCCAGGTAGAATTTCATACTTTCTTGGTCATTATTATCAAGTCATAATTTGTATTTACCCGCTTAAATTTACAAGTGTAATAAATACTTCAGTTGGCATTAAACTAAAATGTTTCTATTAATATACTGTCCCAGAAAATTTGATTATTTGGCTTAGATTTGACACATTTATTTGACATTTTCCTTTTCCTCGTGCATGTAATTTTCTAAACAGTGGTTGGAGAATTTTGATCCAATAAGTTCAGAGGTTTTCTCCCCCACCCTGACGGGGTCTATTCAATGAGTATTTCTGTGCAGACTTGTCAGGCCCCCTCCTGTATCCCTGCTCTCAAACAGGATTTGTTTCTCACCTCTTGCGTGTCCAGCTGAGAGAGCCACATGTGCAGAACAATCATTCCTGTATGGCTGATAGTGCGGGCTGCGAGACGCACACAGTGGGTTCTGTTACCACTCAATTTGTGCCTGCTCTAATTTGATGTAGTTTTCCGAGGAGACTTCCAGTCCGCTCTGACTGCGGGCTTTGTAATGGTTTTCTACGCTGTCTAATTTGAATTAATTTCTCTTCAGTGTGCCGGGCAGGTGATTGCACTCAAAAAGTCAAATAGTCACTGGGCACAGTGCCGGTGATCCATGGAGGTTGGCTTGTATCTCAGATTTGTTTGTAGTCACTGACAGAAAGTTTAAAGGTCTTGTGTACACTTGGCACCAGATTAGGGGGGAAAAGCGTGAGGGACTGATAAACTTAGGCTGGTGCATGGTGGTGGATCGGCAGTGTGTGTTTAGTGGATCTGCCTGTTTGCCGTGATTGGTTATCTTGGTATCTGCCTGTGTCAGTGTGTGTTCCTGCACATAATGTCCTGCCTGCCTGATTATTGCCTTTGTGTCTGCGTGTGTGTGTGTTGCTGCTTTTCTTGTATCGTCACCTTCAGCCTTGCCCTGAACGCTGCGGTCCTATCACCTCCTTTTATAAACTTTAGGCTGTAACTGCGCAGAAAGAGCTACACACCGGGCCACAGGACAGACCTCAACCTCCAGCAAAGCACAAGTGGGACCGGATCTGTCTTTCTCTGCTCCAAGATGACCCAAGAAGGAGAACGGTGAAAACAAGCAATCATTCCGACTTAAACGCACCATAAGCATTAACCCGGGGCTGGCAGCTGGTGCCTTCCCCTTTAACATTTAACAGCAGCTAAGGTAACAGCGCTGGCCGTTTGGACGGTGGCATGGCAAGTGTTTAGAAGAGTGTGCATGTAACTTGGCCTGCCAGTCCCCAGGGTGGACCAGCAAAGGAGTTGTGTTACACTCCCTGACAGGCCTTATACATGTTTCATCTGATGCTCTCAGAACAGAAGCCCCCTTTGTTATCTAATCTAGCCCTCTTGTACCCAGGCTGAGTGACTGAGTTTACTGCCACAAGACTGCTCTTCAGTCCGCCTGCCAGCCGCTGAACTGATGCATATTCCCCGACAGCTGAGAGCAGCAGGAGCATTTGGTCAGGCCTAAGCTTTTTGGGCTTCCCAGCCAGTCTTACAATCTGCTGGATGGCGGTCAGAAAGGGCTTTAAATAAACAAGGAGCTATGTGAGGTCTCACAAAAGAACTCGGCTGTCGTCATCTGTTTGGCACCACACTTGAACCGGTCTGCAGCCCCGCTAGCTCCTCAAGCCGCGGAATTGCAAAGCCAGCAACATTACAAGCCACCGACCTGGAAAAGGGATTCTATTTGTGTTTTAGTTGGCCTGACCAGTCAGGAGTCATGGATTACACCCTCAGGCCTCCGTCGCTCCAGGTGAGTGTTCCGCAAGAGGGCCCGGTGTACTCCGACGGAGGATGCCACGCCGTGTCGGACGGGTCCATGCGATCCAGCTCCTCCACGCCGACGCTGCGCCGCAAGCGCTTCAAGATGCGACGCATGAGGAACGTGCCCAGCGAGCGGGACGTGGGCCGGGCGAAGCTGACCAACTGTCACCTGGCGGTCAGATCTCGCTCCAGCTCAAAGGAGTACCTCCAGCTGCCCTCCATCGAGATCACGCCATCCAGCGACGAGGACGCCGCGTCCACTTGGTCCAGCTGCTCCACGCCCAGCGCCTCGCCTCGTCGCAAGCGTTTCCTGCTGAGGAGATGGCTGAAGGTCAGGGAGAAGAAGGAGCAAGGCAGTGAAAGCAGGTTGGTATGGACCCTCTCTCCTCCCTCTCTCCCCCCCTCCCCCCCTCTCCCATAACTACTCAAAAAACTCCATGCTGCTTCGAGCCCGTGCAACCTGTGGCAGTGTGCATTACTAACATGGGGATTTAAATTGATATGGTGGTCAGTGAGACTCTTGAACAGGCATCGAATCAGTTTAAGAACCAAAACCATGTCATTGTTTACAGTGTTTTGTTAGATTTGAATGCAGTATGTGTATCTAATTTAAAACAGATGCCAGGTGCCTGCATGCTGCTACTGGAACATCTCTGTATAGTTTTCTGGTTTGTGGGTTTATGTTTCTACAAACTGATATCAATTCAGTAAAACGTTTCTTCTGCTATTTGGATTTTTTTTTTTTTTTACACTAGTTTTTGAAAACGCAAATCGCTTTAACACAAGAGTAGAGTCACTAGAGTGCATACACAGTTAGCCATGCTATCAGGCTTTGTCTTCCCTTGTGGATAAATACACACATCAGATATTGTGCATTTAGATTAAATGCTTTCGGTGATAGTGTGAGATAATTTACTTAAACAGTAAGGGTTTATCTAACTGCAGTACTGTACAAAAGGTCAAGAAGTTAACAAAATCAATATATTTCTTCCGTTTAGGTGCATCAACAATGCTAGAGGTAGAGTAAGTTATGCTATCACTTTACAAAGGTCAGATTGTCGATAAAACACACGGTCCAGTTTGACAGATTTCCTCTTTAAGAGTTGGTGCCTGGTAAAAAGCTATTAGGATGACCACTCATCCATACAAGTTCATAGTTTATGTTTTGGAGATTTGTTACATCAGTATTGTAGTGTTCAAAACCAGAATAGGTTCCCTTCTGGTGTGCATTTGTAGAAAACCTTCCTTTCAAATGCTGTTTTATCTCACGTCAACCTGGTGTTCATGCAGTACTCTAACTAATGCAGAGCAGACAGGCTGCTTGAAGAAAAATTGGGAAATGTGAAGAAAGAGAAAAATGCACCCGAGGGTGGAAGGCTTAAAAGAAAAGTAAGGAAGCAACACCAGCAAATTCTAATTATGTCTCAAAAGTGGAAAAAACTCATTTCACAGAAACACTATGTCTCTAACCTTCCTCTCTCTAGTGGGGTAATATTAGAATTGTAAAGCAGCTGATGTTAGAAAGTTAATAAGATTGCTCTCTGCTTTGGTAGGAGGTTTATAATTGGCTATTAATTTCACCAATGAGTTTTAAAAAAAACTATACTCATTGCTTGGTGTAAATGTTCATTTCAGTTTTTTATTAAGAGACTGTCGTAAGAAAATTTGGTTTGCTCACTGTTAGCGCTCAGAGTTAAAGGTGTAGAAATGGTAGAAATGGCAATCTCAAGTGATGTGGATAATTGGAGACGATGGTGACTGAATTCAGGTTGTTGGTATGTTCTGAATAAAGCAAAACAACAGTTCCTTTAGGCGACATTCCCCCAGCAGGAAGCAGGCTTAGGGAGCACTGTGGAATGGAGTGCAGCTTCCCTCTTTTTAGCTCCTCTTCTTGAGAACTTGAGCTTCCTAACTTTGCAAACGTTTTCAAATGTCAAATGTTTTTCAAACTTAAAAAGTGTACAGTATGTACTTTTTAATATGCAGCCAGTTTTGCCTCCTTCCGCCTGCTGTGATCACGGAGTGATCAGGCAAAGCTGATTTAATAATTTTTTTGACAACCTAAAATCTATTAGATCTAACTGGGAAATTCTGGTAGTTCCTTCTCCTCATGTTTTCTCTTTCTGTCCTTTCCATATTCTGTTGAAGCCACTGGCTACAGATTCCAAATTTAAACCCGTTCGCTCTTCCTGCTTCTCCAGTGGCACAAGCGAATAACTGTAACTGTAGTTGTGATTCCGTCATTTTCAGTTGTGCCCTGATCAGAGCTCCATATTCCCCTAAAAGAGAAGAACCCTGCTGGCTTAAAGCTGTGAGACAGTCTCGGAAAGCATTCAGATTTAGAGTTTTTTTTTGTTTTTTTTACTTGATGTGTAGTAATAAGGGTAAGTTGGCATCAAAGTTTAGAGACAGGCTCATGTTTTATGTTCAGGGAGAAGTGCTGCTCACATCTGTGTTTACTCATAACCTCCATTTCAGAGTTGCCGTTTTCTTTTCACAAGCCGGAATTTAATACCACTAATTCATCTGTTCCATCATACATCCATTATGGAAATTGTCGCCTCTGGCTGCCTTATTTAGTTGACACATTTCCCATCAGCACACATCGATGTTAGAGCCATGATGAGTACAGAGCATGACTGTCTCTGTGAAAATGAATAAATAATCACCATACGGGAGCATCCTTACAGAGGATGTTTACAGAATTGTGCAATCTTTCTTATTACCTCAGTGCCCTCCAGTAGCCAGGGTTTGTCCAGTCATTTTGACAACTTGAAAAATGCTTAGCAACCCACTTGGATACTCCTCACTGTCCAAATAATCTAATCTGTTGCTGAAGAGCTTCATGCTCCTCTCAATGCTTTAATTCAACCTATGGCCTCTCACATACAGGCAAACAGATGTTACACTTGCTCCTCTCTCCAAAGTATAACTGCACCGGATAAATACCTTACATTGTCATTGTGTCCATAACAAAATTTAGAAGCAGATAAGATGACTATTCTGTTGACAGAGTGGCAGAATGAACATGTAGAACCACAGCGATAGGTACGTAAATATGAATAGGGAGTGAATGCAAGTCTGCATCTTCGATTGTAATGTTAATAAGTCAAATAAAAAATCTAATTTAAAATGCCAATGCAAATCATGATCGCAACCAATCTCAGAGTTGAATTGAACAAATATTTGGCAGCAGCATCTACTTTGAATAATAGGTTTTGGCTTCATGTTAAGGTCTGTGGGCTTGTAGGAAGCAACCATGTGTATGAATGCACTGCATGTATTCTGCAAACTTATATACAGAATATAGTGCATTCAGGATTAAAAATGTTATAAACAAAAAAATAAGACCAAGCCAAAAAGAGAGGAAAAAAATTAAAACAGGTGCAAGTGAATATATTTCATACCACCTCTGTCTGTGGGGACACTAGCTTGCATAAGCCTAACGGCAGATTTCTAAAGTCTTTCAAAAGCCTGAAAACTTCTCTCTGTGACAGACTCTTGCATATCACATTGTCCTGTACTGAGGTCGTGTAGTCCAAAATCCTTCTCCTTCCCTTTCAAGTGTTGTTATTTTTGTTCACTGCTCAAAAAATACTGCATGTGTATCCACCCATAGCCGCACAGCACTTTGATCCTCAAAATTCCTTTTTCTCTCTTTTTTTTTTTTTTTTCAACCAGGGAAACCTTGGTTGAAATTCTGCACACATTGCTTGTTCTTGGAAATATCCACAGTTTTTTCATGTTTACGTTTTTTATGTTTATACGCTTTAGTGTGTTGGGATAGCTGTGTTGTTATTAAAATATTGTTAAAGACAATGTGTATAACCTTGTCCAGATAACAGTTAAAAAACGTCATTTCTTATTTTTCTACGAGTATTCATGTACCGGCCGGCAAGAGATTTACTGAAGAGCTTGTTCCTAGTTAATGTATAGTACTCATAAACACTTATACAGATTTTTGTGGCCTGGCCAATTATTGTCCTGTCAATGTACAAACAAGACAAAGATTTTATAGTTAACTCAACGCGCTGAGTTTAGTGAACCATGTTGCCATTCTCTACTCTTCTTGGAAGAACTTTTACAAAATTGTAAGTATTCAAAAGCTTTCCATTTCAAAAAAAGGTTTTAAGCTGCTTGTGTTGTATCAGCGCTGCTGTTTAGTTGACAGAAACGGGTCAAAGGGGAGGGCTGGGAGGAACTTTGTCCAGCTGGGTTTTTTTGTTAAGGCGACATCTTTTCGTCGCGGACACGGGACATGAACATTGCCTTACCCTACAAATGTTTAAAATCCTAATAATGTTTTATTATTGGTTCACAATTCATGTACGTTTAGTTGTCTTTGCTCCAACTAGAGCCTCAGACATGCTTTCATTGTCTAGACCAGTCCTTGTTTTGCTTTGTTTTTTTCAACGTTCTTTTTGAACTTGTCCCATTTGTTGTTGTATTTCCGTATTAATTTTATTCTTATTCTATTCAGATTTCTCTCCGAGATTATAGGTTGTGCATCTTTTAGTGGTATGTTTTTTTTTCGTTTCTTTTTTTTTGTGTGTGAAAAACACAGTACTTGCCATGATTAAGTAGACTGCACATACAATAATGTAAGAATATCATCACCAGAAACAATATCTATATTACAAAAGACTAATAAATGGAGAGATGTGGGTATATTTTTGTAGGAGAGATTTTGACTTGATTTAATATGGCAATAACCTACATATGAATAAGGGCTGCATTCTACTCAAAAACAAAGAAAGAAACGATTCATCAGTGAAATGACTTGTTTCGTTTGCTTCCTGCTGTATTTCCATAGTAGTCAAAAATTAAATGTGCTGTTTTCTTTTTAATTATATCAACAGTTGCAGCTCTGTTAAGGGCCGTTTGCTATTAGACAAATGGTCTCATATTTGATTCTGGGAGGCTTTGGTGGGCAGGGATGTTGGTAGTCTACTGGATGATCATGCCCCTTTCACCAGTATGCCATGCAGTTGGTGTCAGTTTGTGCTGACAAACTGTATTTCGTTTTCACGCAAAAAAGAATGATCAGACCTTTCCACTTTTCTCCTGTCTGTCCGAAGACATTGTTGAAGACGTCTTGTTTTTCATTCAGATATTTCTTTATCCTCATTCGAACTAAAGTGTGTAATCTGAAATGTTTGTCTTTGGTTGGTATTATTATTATTCATTTTTCGTTGTGTATTACGCAGTGGGATTTCCTTTTTCCCCAAGTGAAAAACCTTTAAATGTTTTTCACTTGTGAATATTCCATCACTGTAGATTGATGGACTTCACATCGTTTGACCTTTTAACTTTTCCCAGATTGATGGGGAGAAGCAAATTCTTCGTCACGGATGTTTTTCCTCCTTTGAATAAGTGTTAACACACACCTAAATGCTCCAAACCAGCAAAGGGGGGCCAGATCGGAGGTCACTCTTGCTGATTAATGTCGATTAATCAAACCATGACATTCACAACATCTCGCTAGTTAATTCCTGTGAAGGCAGTAAGGTAGGACTTTTTTTCACACAGTTCTACTTCACTTTCCTTTCTTTAATTTCACTAATGATTTTGTGTAAGGTGACATGTTGGTTGTCCTAGGTTGTATTTATTAAACTCTTCATTTTTTTTTTATCGTGCCCAGGTACACAAAACCTTAGCATTGAAAGAGTCTGTACTTTCCTCCCCTGACGACTGACGTGTCTTCTGTAGGTGTATAAAATTGTGCATCGGAGAACAGTGGAGACTTGCAGATGATGCGGGATCTGCATAATAAGAGCAGAGCTATTTTGAGGAAGTGGTGGGGTAGTTTTCAGCCAGCCTCAGTGCTTCCACCTCATCCAAGCATTTAAATATTTAAGACTCACAATGTCTTACGTAGGCATACAAGGAAAACAACAGTTTTAACATATTTCTAGGGGAAAAGGGTGAACATTGCTGCAAGAAACAGTGGATGATGGTAGTTAAATTAAATAAATGTGTTCCCCCAGTTGTTTGGTTTGTTGAGAGAAGTATCCCTAATTTGCTGAAGGTTGTCCAATGTGGTCATAGATCAGAGCAAGTGTGGTCTCACCATTTTATCACCTTAGATGCGCTCTGTCTTTATAGCTGTAATTGACTATGCCTCACTGTTTTCACAGTTCAGCAGCACTCTATAAATCACTGTCACTGCAAACGCAGTGGAAAACTTGACAGCATTTTGTAGTGCCTCTCTGCTGTCTTGTTCAGAGTGGATATTCAGTTTTATTCTGTGCGACCACTGAATAATTCACTAAGAAACCATGTCATGTCAACTTTCTGTTCTCTCAATTCCAAATAGCCGTGCCGAAAGGGGCAAAGGTGCGACCATAAACCCTTGCACAACATCAGAATCCACACGTATGATTTTACAACGCATATTTCCTCTCGGCAGTGAATGGTTTATGGGCGGCCGACAACTGGGGGGATGAGGCAGGAGCAGAGACAACAGTGGGTGGGGCGAATGTGATGCTGTGAAAGGCCATTTTTTGGGATGACAATTGTAAACCGTCCACAGCGAGCAAAGAACAGTTTTTGTTTCAAATGACAAAATGCAGTTTTTCAAAGTGTATTCTGACTGTAGCAAAAATCCTTAAAGCCTCCAAAGATGTGCATGATTCATACATTCTGGGATTCCTTTACACAGCCTTGTGCTGTTAAGAAAAGGGATCAGGGCATGGCACAGTGTGAGAGAGTGTGAATTAATGAAGACCACCCCCGACAGAAAAGCTTTGTGCTTAAATACACCAGCATGAAATGAATGTCATTGGTGCTGCAACTTGAGATAAGGATATCTTCTACTGCAAACAAAAACAAAGCAAAGCCTTTACTGCATCATTTTAGTGGATATTCCATTTAAAGATTTTTTAAGTGTCAGGTGGGCCTCCCCGGAGGGGGCGTCAGTTTCAGGGTAAGTGAATGGCTCAGTAAATGTAGGAGAGGAAATGTCACATTCCTTTTCAAAAGAATTAATTAAATGTTTGCAATGTGGTTAAAGAACTCGGATACCTTTCATCAAGTCAGAGACCAATAAATACCTTTGGAAAGGTCATTTACTGTACATATGGCAAGCACTTTGGGAATCTTATGACTTTAATCAAATTTTAAAAAAACACAAGCAAGAATTTAGTGAAATGATGTGGCATCCATAGCCACACTTGGTCAATCGGGAGATGTATTCTCTCAAACCTTGAAAGAGCAGAAATTAAATGAATCAACAAAGAAATAAATGTTTATCTAATAAAAACAACCAGCCACGGATATCATTACTCAAATGATTTCCGGGTGTTTCACTATTCCCATTTTCAATGGATCACGTTTTTATCTTTATATATTAAATGTGGTCTGTCAGATGTCAATAACCACACAAAGAGTTGCTATCTTTTGCATAGCCAGTGTCTAACAGCGCCATCTAGTGTTGTCACTGAATATGTGTAAGGAAGGAATCAGGCCAGTGTTGAAAAGTTGTACACACTGTAAGTTGGTTCCCTTTTATACAGTATCTCAGTACATGTTTATAGTTCACATTCAATTTGCAGGCACGTTGACAGAATTCTTTAATGTCCCATACGCCGGTCAACATCCCAGTTTCACAGAGGTTCAAAGTAATGTAGAATCCACCAAAAAGTTTGTAAATTATCTTTTTCTCTTGTTTCTGTCATTTGTTTATCTTTGCCTCTTGTTTCTGTTTAAGTTCTGTTTTCACGGGCGACCATTTCTAGATCTTAGAGTTCAACAAATGTGTGTAGAGCTTGCACATTTGAGGCATTTGTTTACAGTACCTTACATCCTGTGATTTCTCTTCCACCATGCAGCAGCCAGCAAAGCAGTCAGCAAAGCAGTCAGCAAAGCAGCCTGCAGAGCAGCCACGAAGATGACAGCACTCGCTTCTTGACACCATTAATCCGAGAGGAGAGGTGAGCACTGTGTGTGTCGATTCTTGTCTTTGCATCTGCACACAGCTCTTTTTAACACCAGTGGAAAATAACTTATCTGTTGATATGGCAAATATTGTATTCCAAATAAAGAAGAGGGTTTAGCCCTCTGGTTTTTATCTCTGATAGTGTTAATACTGTAAAACTATAAATTCAGGGAAAAAAACAATGCTTTCAAGCTATTTGCTCATTTGTCATCCTCTCATAGATATTCTCTTCTAGAGGGCTTTTTCTTGCTGCTAATTGTAATCAGGAAAATTGGTTTTCTGTGCTGCATTATTTGTTTCTGAGTATATTATTTGTCTTGGAAGGCCCTCGAATCAAAATGGGATTACATGGAACATTAGCAGCGTCCATAACCTTGTTAATGACACTCAGTGAAGTTCATAAAGCATTAGAGGGCTGTTTGGTGGAGAGAATGCTGTACAAACACGATTTCTGTCATTTGTGATCTGTCGCTATCACTGCTGTGATCCTATTTAAGAGCCCCCTAAAATTAGCATTAGCCACATGTGATGGGCCCAAGGTTGATTGGTGTTTCTGCTTCCCCATAGGCTCACTTTGTCTTGAGGTACCAGTTGTATCATTAGATCCTTGTCACAGCAGTTGGAGTTATGGTTGTCTCAGCGGTGACATGCTGAGACATTTGAACAGCAACTGAGCAGCGTGTGAGAACTGCATGGATATTCCATTTTGACCTGTGGCTTATTACATTTTATTATGATATGACACAACAGGGCCAGTGAAATATTCAGACCTTTTACCCAACAAGTCATTTACAGGTGTCATGAAAGGAAAATGACATTTCTATTATAAATGGGAAAAAAAACAAATGTTTTGCTTGTAAAGCAACCTTGTTTGAGGGAGAAAAGGAAAGGCACATTTTAGGATGGTATCTCTGTTTCTATGGAAAAGTCTAACATTTTTACCATAAAACCTTTTAGTTCACCTTTCTAAAAAAGATCAAAAGGATTATTTGCTGGAAACAAATGCTGACTGTTAAAGCTGTCAAACTGGTGACATATTCCTACTGAAATACAGTTTTATATTTTCAAAACAAAATTTTTGAATTATTTATTTTTCTCTAAAAGCTTGGTGTTCTATTTCATGTCATATGTGTTGATGGTTTCAGTATACATTAAAAATGATTTGGTATATGGTGTTCAAGTTTTCACTGTTTAATGTTGACCTGGAAGGTCATTAAAACAGGCTGAAATATTTGGTGGTTTTGTTTCATAGGCAGCTGTGCTGTGTGTAAAATGCTTACATCTATTTAAATGTTTCATCTTGCTGGATGAACTATTCACGTTGTTAGATGGTTAATAGATGTACAGTACATACAAGGACCTGCAGCTACACGTTTACACAGCCTGAGAAAAGTAGAAAAATTCCGGGCAAAAAAATTGCAGGGGGCCTCTTTTTCTAGCCTGCAACGACTTAGCAATTTCTCTCCGTTCGCTGGAGTTGGGCTCTACATTTCCACTCTTTCTCCCCCTCCTGCCCCCCTCTCTCTGCGCTCCTCTCTCCGGCTCTCCCTCCCCGCACATTCTTCCGGCACAGGGTGCCCGCCCGCTCGCTCCAGTTAGGAACAGAACCTCTCAAACCCTATGGGATATTTTGCCGCTCTTCTCTTTGCTGTGCTGGAGTTAGCTAGTGCGGGGCGTCTGCCGCAGCTGCAGGGAGAGCAGCGTTCTGTAGCCGGATTTAGAGGGCACGGAATGTCATGTCTCCTCTGCAGGTAAAACCGGCTGCATCCCCCCCAACTCCACCTGGCCCACCGTCTCTCCATGTCTGTCCGCCCTGCTTTGCTCTCGCTGCATCTGCCTGTTTGTGTGATGTGCTGCGGTTTACTCCGTGTGCCGTGTGCAGCTGCGTTTTCTGGCCAGCTGACAGCGGGCTGTCAGCTAATTTCTGCCCGGAGCTGCTATTCCAGCCGCCCGCGCCAGACAATCCCGCTTAGGGGGAGAGAAAGGGATGATATGCAGTTGATGGTATCAAGACAATGTGCCTAATATTCTTTCTCCCATATTTTTTTTTTTTTCCGGTCGTGTTTTTGCATCTGATGCTTCGGCTAACTCCTCCACTACAACTGCAGATAGCGTTATGTAATATCAAAGTGTGACTTGTGGCTAAGTGAGTGTGATGTGAGTCATCGGAGAAGATGATGCAGCGTATGAGAGTGAGCTGCGAATCAATATCATTACACCTGCTATCCCGTCGCCGGCCTCCAGTGTTGACAATAGATACAGATATGACACTCTACCCATTCATTCTTAGTTAAGAATGTATAAGCATATATTAGCCTTCCCCTCGTAAATCCTACACCTATGTTGTTCACAAGATTTTTTCTAAATGGATGTAATTCAAATATTAATGGTAACTTGAGATGTGCTGTACTCGTTCACAGGTTAGAGACTTCCGTGCTTCCACGGTTTGCTTTTGATTGCCTAACTCGGGCTGCATTGTGGTTCCCCTCTGCCTCCTGCATGGTTCTAACAACTTAAACTCAGAGTGAAGCAAACCTACATCTCCCTCCCTCTTTTTCTGTTGATGATTGTGGGAAGAAAACACACACGAAAGAAGAAGGTTCCTCCCCTCTTCCAGTTACCTTGACCAGAGCTCTGTTGCACACAAAAAGACAACCCCTCATCCTCTCACTGCAAATGAACTCTTAGTTTTTAGTCATGAGCCGATTGCTGGCTCCAGCATAAAAGTAACTTAATGTTGTTGTTGTTGTTGTTGTTGTTTTTCAGATTGTTTTTTTCTTTTTATTTTGTCAATTTTTGGAGACAATAAGAAACTTATGTGCAGGTCAGTTAAAGACCTGGAATTTATCTATAAAAGGTGCAGTGAAAGTGTTTATGTGAGTGTGAGTGTGTGTGTGTGTGTGTCTTAACAACCCAAGTGGGTGGGCATATTCAAGTCCTTGTACGTTCAGGAGAGCTTGTCTGTTCAGGAGGTCACCACACTCACATTTTTGGACATTTGTGGAGCTAACGTAGTTGTTTTTCAACAGACTTATGTGAACAATCTAGCATTTATTTACAGAAATATTTATCAGAGCTATTCTCAGTTTTTGAATTCAGATAACAGAAATTTAGTTTTAAAGAAAGTGAAAATTGAATTCTTATGACCAAATAATATGTAAAATAGTCAAGATAAAATAATTAAAGAATGTTTGGGTTTAGGGGTAGGCAATGTTCATTTGTGTAAGCTTCTTTTTGTACTTTGTACTTTGTACTTTTTTAGTTGCTAGTCTGAGGCTATAGGTGGAATCAACTTCCCTTTCTTTCATTCACTTCATATTTCTGGCATAGGATGCGTACCATTTTTATCTAACATTTTTAATGCAAATCAACATTTTTAGCTCAGGATTGGCAAGTAGGAAAACTAAGAACATGATTACCCCTCATGGCTTTTTAATAATCAGTCTTTCACTTGTATATAAACAATGCTCACTTTTGTTTAGTAATTTAGCAAGCTTTTCTTTCACACTTCTCACCTGTTAAGATTCATACGTTTTATATTCTATTTATTCTATTTTGTATTAGACATAAAATAAGCTGGTTCTCACTAATTAGCAGCATGGGAACAAATTGGCAAATGGTAACTTTTTAACATTTATTTGTTTTTTTTTATGTTTTTATTTTCATTTTTCAAACCAATAAATAACCTTTCCTGCTTCTATGGTTTTCTTATCCAAAATTCTTAATTTTTTAATAATTGATAACCACTTTTATGGTTAGAAAAAAAGTTGTATCATGTGATAGATGTTTATGCCCGATGGGAAGGAGAAAATGGTTAAAGGTTAGAATTTTGTGCAGTAATGGGAGATCTCTGATCCAAACATAGTAGTTTTGGATCAGATTTCTGACCATTGCTATCCATAGTTGAATTTGCAAATGAATAAGTCTACAATAAATTGTAACCTAAAAGAAAAATGACAAAAAATATTTTGTGGTTGCAGGATTTAGCATCCCTGCATTCAACCATATAGTTATATTTATTTGATTTGTCATATAAACAACTGCATATTTATAGTCTTGGTAAATGAATATTTATCGCTTACCTATGTCTTTATTTCAGTAAGTGCCCTTACTTTTTTAAATGAAAAATGGCTGTTACGTTTGCACTTCCAGTTGGTTTATGATTTATCAATAAATAAATTGTCAGTCAAATTTTTAATCTGAATGATCTGTGTGACATTTAACCTAAAAGAAAAAAATTCAGAACTGTGATTCAAATGGAACATTGAACAGTACTTACTACTTGGCGTGCAAGAACACTCTCGATTCATGCTGAATACTTATGATGGAAGAGTCAAATTTCTTTTCTTTATTTATCTGACCATGAGCTTAGATGACATATGGTACCAGTCACTTGGTAAATACATTCACCAAGTGACTGGCACCATTACATAAAAGCAGTAGTAGCAGTCGTGACCTAGCTGTCTCTCTTCTGTGCAGGTCTGACAGTGCAGCGGACAAAATCAGGTAAGCCTCCTTTCTGAAGTGTGGACATGCATCCGTGCAAGTTAGCATATGCATACTGTAAATGGTACAGAGGGACGGCCTTGCTGTCACCTCATTTGCCCTGGCCCACCCACCCTGCATGTGACAGAGATTCATGGCTTTGTCCGCCCAACCAAGGTGTTTGAATACGCTTTACATTTGGAGAGGCCAGCAGTGAATACAGTTGCAAGCCATGGAATGCCTTTGTTTGCTTTTATTGGACAAACAACATCAGACACAAACAGGGCTTTGTGAGTAGCGCACCATTGTGGAGCTTTTGGTCCTTTAGTTAGCATCAGGTCAGCACTGTGGACGCACGCACTGTGGGCACAGGCTCCTCTTTCTCCGGGGGTGTAAAAGCTGTGCTGTCACAAGGGACTCGGCACCAGTGCTCGAGCAAAAAGGTTCCAGTGTGAGCTGCAAAGGTGAGTTTGATTAGCAGTGATGTTGGGAGCCTTGGATGCAACACAAGAGAGTGCTGGAGCAGGATTTGCTCTGTCTGAATAGCTGTTCCTCTGAACTTTGTTTGAGAGAACTCAGCGACACATGGTTTGAATAATACAAAGCATACAGGGCAGCTTTTTCACGTTGAATTGCTTCGTCCTAAATTAGAGCTTGATTTTTCTTCCACTTGTATTTACTTAAGTTTCATCCTTTGGAGCTGTGACTTTAAAATCAATATTGGGATAAAAAAAGGTGAATATCAGTCTGTGGACCTGCAGATTTACAGCTTTTTGCTTGATGTGTGTAGTGTAACTCGGCCCTCACCGGGAAGACTGTTTTCTTTCACACATGCATGTGTTTGTTAGGGCAAATTTTGAGTGTGTGTGCTCCTGGTGTGGTATGCTTTTGGTGGTCAGTCAAGCAACCTCTTCGCAACACACCAGTCCAGTCCAGTATTAAACCACTAGGAGTCTCTGTACTCCAGTATTTGGCACGGTTTCTTTCAATCCAGTCTGTTATGATAGTAATTCTCTCTGCTTACATACCTCAGCATTGATTGAACAATAACACTGTTACATTCGTCTTTGGTTAATCTGAGCCAAAAATTAAGAGAAGTGTAATCAGATTGGTGTCATAGAACCACTGAGAAAAAACATGAGAAATTTGGCTGGATGGTGGTTGATATTCTTTAACACTAGGTTTTAAGATTTTAAAGGCAGATTTACTTTGTCAGGTAGAAAATTGGTTATTTTGTTGTTATTATTTACATCTATATACATTATCCATGAAAGTTACGTAAACAATCACAAAATGCGATTTGACGTTACTTTTTAAACCAAGCTATAAAAAGTAATGGCACCATACTTTGCTCCACATCTTTGCAGCGTTGCAGAATGTACAACTCACCACTCTCCATTCAAAAGTGATGCCCTCTTGCACTGGGACAGAATATAAACTCTGGCTTGCAGTGTTGACATGAGGAAATCCAGCAGGATGCCTGGTTTCTTACATTAATTTGAGGCACAAGACCCCTCACAACTTTAGTCATGCAGTACCCTCCCACATGGTTGTAAAAAGGGCATGTTTGTCTTTGTTGACACTGAAAATGTTGATCTGTTAGTTTTGCAAAACAAAAAGAAAAACCTGAGTGTGTCAACCATGAAAATTCACCTAGACTTGCATCATATCAACCATGATGTCATGACTGATCTACAATCCTGCCTTATCCAGGTATCATTCATTAAAAGGGGGGTATTTGATGTTTTTTATGCCGTGAACACCAGATGAGACAGAAGTCAGCAATATCATGATTGACATTGTTTGTTTTGAAACAGAAGACAGTAGAAGGTGGACTCATAATCAGAGTGCAGCACAAATGCAGCACTGACGGTTGAAAAACCAAAAGCGTTAAAAATGTAATATTTTTGGAGTACACTCCAGGAACTTAACTGAATTTTGTACATGGGAATTTTGATAAGAGTGAACTAGGTTTCTGGGGTGAAGACAGTCCCTGTGTTAGCATATATTTTTAGTGTGACATAAATTGGATGTGCACAAGAAGTTCGATTCAGGTATTTCTTTTCTTATGCTTCATCACTTAAGACATTCGATATTACCCTAAAACAAGCTATTGGGCTGTGAAGTAAAACATCATGAGTGTTAACACACTACATTTTAAAATTACCTCACTGTACGAGTTCAGTTTAATCATGAGTAAGACACAACACCAGGATGAGTATACTTTGTAAGGTAAAGGGTAGATTTTTTGTTTTTTTGTTTTAGCGGTTAAAAGCCATGTTGGGTTGATATACATTTGTCAGTACATTTAGATTTGAATGGTGTGACTTTTTATCCTAAATAGTCCAGCTAGCTTAGTTCTAAGAAAAAGGTACTATAGAAGTGCACGTACGTTTATATTTACATTTAATGTCAGCATTGCTGTTCTGCCTTCTCAGTTACTGGATTATCGACCATTGTCTGCGATTTGAGACATTAGTGTCCTCTGATGGGGATCAGCATAATACGATCATGCACTTAACTTTTTGCTGAGCTGTCATCGAAGCAAAGATATATATGATGAATGATATTGGAAAAAATAGACAATTTCCAATATAACTCAGTGTAGTCTGGTGTGACTCAGATATGTCTATATTCAAATTGTTTACAATATTTGTGATGCTTTTATTCATATCTAGTATTCGCCTTGCGGTCTGTCTCTTTGTTCTCAGAAAGAGAATGTTGTGGAAGATTTTGAAAGCCCAGCGTTGATAGTTTGTGCTGTCTTAGGGCTATGTGATCTGTACACCTGCTCCACCTCAAGCCTTATGAGACAAAAGATCTGAATGGCTGCACACACGCTGATGATGACAATTATGCCAGAGGTCTGTTTAATTTGTTATGCTTCTTTGGCTCGTTTGCTGTGCTTCTTGCTCGGATAACAAGCTATGAGGTCATCACGTCTGCCGTTCCTATCCATTATTCACGTGTGTATTTTTAGATGTTCGCACGACCATTGCATTGCTGAAGTGGCTCTTTAAAGATGCTGTGATACAACGGTTAAAGACCGCGAATACACGCCTGCAGCGTGCCGACAGGAAGACGGAGGAAGAGGAGAGACGGAGAAAGCCAGGGGTAGCAGGGTGGGGGTCTGACAAGGGAGTGGAGGAAAAGAGGTGAGGGACCACCCTCCTTGAACAAATCCCTTCTCAGGGAGCCTACCATAGGAACCTTCCCACACACACACCACGGCCAACCAGCCAATGAGAGCGCTCGCTTCCTTAAACCATCCTCCCTCGTACAACTGCTCATCCAAGGTTCAGCCGAGCAGATGTGAGGTGAAGCGGCTGGAAGCGAGAGCCTGTGCACCGCCTGGTCTGCAGTCTGAAATGTCGTGTGTTTACGGTGGTGAGGAAAAGCAGCAATTTGACAACAGCAAGCTTAGCTGGCAGGGAAGAACGCTTCCGTTTAGTTTCAGGACGGCGGCGTCTGAACAACCCGGACACTCTGTGCCTTCTGAGCAGGCATCAAGTGCCGTCTGAATCTCCTCCGGCTTGCAACTGATGTCAGAGCCGTTATTTCTCTTCTGACTGACATTGGATGTGCCTCGCAAGAGATCTCGACCAGAGGGATTGCGAGGCTTGGCGAAGATGATAAAGCATAATTTCACAGCGGCACAGTGATTGAAGAGGGGCCATGAGAGCCAGGAGAGAGGCCAGGATGGTGTCTGCTTGTTCACCATGCACAAACATAAGGTCAGGTCTGATTTCTGTTACCTCTCAGTGAATACTAACTGCACAATAGCTGGCATGATGCAGATTAACAGCACAAAATAGATATAAAGCTTAATGTGCTATAGATAAAAACCTATAGATCTGTGCATAGTTATTTTAGATATGATTGGAAATGCATCTTTATATAAAAATTATCTATTGCCATGTAAGATATAGAATTTAGCATGGTTACAAATTTGTAAAAAAATGATAACTCTACAGCTTGTACTGTGCTGCATGCTGCATGCATGCTGCAGCGTTTAGGGCTATTCTGGAATCACTTCCTGCATTCTGTGCAAACCCTATAGCAGTCTCCTAATCATCCAGTGATTATCTACTAATTCTCTTGTTAATGTAGTAGTAATGTGGCTCACACTGACCACCTCGCATGACCTACATGCCCCTGGTATTGTTGCCATGCCGTGCCCTTTTCCTGCGTGACCTTTCGAGCTCTCTCTGTCCACATCAGCCTAATAAATGCCATTTGCCTTAACTGTTAAAGCTACTTTAGCATTCATATGATTATGTCATCATTTTCAGCATCTTGGTTTCATGCAATCATGTCCGTGGAGGTCTATATCTGAGACTGCATAATGTTTTCTGTTGTCTAATTCCCATTTGTCAATATGTCAGTGTGAGATTTGTTGCAAAGATGCGATTGAATCCCTTTTTTTGCTTAGAAGCTGGTTTCATAGAGAAATGTGTTCTCCCGCTCTCACACATGCACGTACACGTTTGAGTAAAGGGGTATTTTCCAGTTGGCCTGTAAGTCTCTGCTGTGATCTCTGCTCCCCTGGTCCATTAAAGGCAATTTGCCTAGATTTAGTGTGCCTGTCAGAGGGGGTGCAGGCCAGGCCTAATGCTGCTTTATGTTACATCCAGGTAACCGTCTCTAAGCTTTTAAATAAATCAGGGCTGATATCCACAGATGACATAAGGAAGTGCTTGTACCTCAGGCACTGGGATTAATTTTATTGATTCATGTTTTCAGTTATTAGACTTCAGTTTATCGGGACAGAAAGTGACTAAAGCCACTTTCTGTCCTCGAAAAGAAATCCTGCCTCTGCCTAAGTCATTGATCATGGATGTACCTTTTTCATTTTTTTCACCTAGATCAATGAAATCCTTCAACTAAAGTTTTCTTTTTAAAATAAATTCCTATGCATTCTCTTTATTCATTATTAACCCCTGTAAACCACTAAAGGAAAGAAATTGGCTGAAAAGTTAATCGTCAACTATTGGATGGGTAATGAATAGACTACAAGCAAAGTAG